AAGGTCTGTTTCTAAGACTTACTAGAACCCCATTAAGTATGTCCTGAACGTGCATAATTTCAATAATTTACGTATGAAGTCTTATTTTATTTGATTACTTCCGCAAGAAATTCAATCAAAAAACTGAATCTTCTGTATGGATTTCAGTATGTTGTCTTCGGAAAATGTCCTCATGGTTAACTTAATGTTCTAGTTTCTTAAGTTGTCCGATTCCATCATAAGTATTTCAATTGAGACTGAAGAAATTTACAGATTCAGTATAGAAGAGAATCTGACGAAAGAGACCGACAGAAACTAAATTGTATCCAGCAGGAAAAGCCGATTGAGACGCAAAATTTTGAGAAATGTGACTCACTTATTATGCTTGGCGTATGATATCTATACGTTTTATGTTTAACGAACGAGAATCAAACCCAGACCTCCCGATCACAAACCGTGCGCCGTACCATGATCTACCGTGACGGCTTATATGAGTGATCCAGTCTTTAGTACCCCCAGTCTTTAATACCCCCTTTTATCATCTCTTCAAGTTTTTTATTCAAATATTTCGGGTTTCGGCATGAGCATCACTGAAGAGACATACTTTGTCGAAATGTGCATCTGGTGCATCAAGATTGGTACCGTATAAGATTAACATTATGACCCCTGGGTCGAGGTCTCTGCTTGATCTGTTAGTCCCCGAGTGTCTCTACAGCCCAGGAGCTAAGTTCTTCGGTACTAATTTAAAAATCGGATAAATATCTAATTGATGTGGTAAAATACAGAATTTATTTCAAAATTAAGAATTATCTCCCTCATGCATAGCTCTGATTCTTCGACGTATTTGGTTCCAGTCTTTAGTACCTTCTTTTATCAGCTCTTCAAGTTTTTTTTTTATTCAAATATTTCGGATTTCCAACGTTTCGGCATGAGCATCACTGAAGGATTTGAGGAAATGCGCATCTGGTGCATCAAAATTGGTACCGTATATGATTTACAGGAATTAAATAATGTTGTGTAAAGTAATTATTTTTCATCGAACACTTCTTTATTTCAACAACCTTGTTTAAAGGTCAAATATAATGATTATTTGAATATACATTATTATTCATGATTATCAGTCTTTGGTGCAATAGTGATAAGATTCGATTGTCTAGAAAAATTCATGTCACCAATTGCCATCATTAATCGCCGTTTATATTTACCTGTGTGACCAGTGGAGCGTTTATTGAAAATCGCTTATCTCCCATGTCGCGTGACGTCATTAGAGACACCGAGAAATCGAACGTACAAAGATATTGTCGGTGCGGGGAACGTTATTTTGGACTAGATGGTGCATTGTGCAGCATTTAATTGCACCAACAAATCACGACAAGGTATAAGTTTGTTTTTATTTCCCAGTGACCCCAAATTACTGAAAATATGGACATTGAAATCAAAAAGAGACGGTTTTCAACCCAGTCAATATGCAAAGCTCTGTGAACGACATTTTGACAAGAACCAGTTTACAGTTCACCCAGACCTCGCAGCTTCAGTTGGTTTTAAAGTGAAGTATAAAATATTGAAACCTGGTGCCATCCCAACTATTTTTGATTACTCAAGCCCAGCTAGACCTTGTAAAAGACCCAGAGACGTAGAATATGGGGATTTGTACTCGCCAACACCTGCTAAGACTCCCAGAAAATCAACAGCGCTGGAGAAAATTCGTAAGAAGAGACGCTTAATGGTAGGTTATTGTGATATATTCAGACAACAATACTTTCAGGCACGAATAATCGGGGAAGGGGAGGAGCAGGGGGATCTGCCCCCCCTCATTTTTCCAAGATTTTACTATTGAAAATGTTCCTTGAAAGGGTGCCCCCCCCCCACATTTTTCATAGTCAAGGTATGGGTTATGTAGTAATGTATAAAGGATTTTGGTTGCGAAAAAGTTGGACCCCCTCCCTCTGAAATAGGATTTTCGAGTTTTTAGAATCCCCCCTTTTTTTGCCTGTCAAGGTTTTCCCCGAGATTGCCCCCCGCTTTCAAATACAATATTACGTGCCTGCTGTTCCCTGTATACTGAAAATTCTAATTATACATTTAATTTTTGTGTTCTTTGTTTATTATTTGGTTACTTTGTCAGAATAAATACGCGCGTTCTAGATAATGAGGTTGCAAAATATTTCAGGGTATTGATATAATGTTACCCAGGGAATGTCCACAGAGTAGTTCTACATCAGACAACACAGACCAGTGTCTACTGGTGCAGGAAAACGAAGCAACAGCTGATACAGTTGGGGAAAGGGATGACTCTAACTGCTTTTCCAAATTGACCCAAACTACTCACAGTTTAGCTGTAAGTTTAATTCATAACTCATGTTACTGTTATCTACCAAACATATATTTTTAATCACATTAATAATCATTTATTTGATTTTTTCCAAGTAAAACTTTAGTAGAAAACACAGGCTTCAGGGTTTTAAATTGTTAATACTTGTATATTTTTTGCATATGAATGTATTTGTCATGGTAACGAAATGCGGAAATAAAATTAAATGTCAGGATTCAGACTGACATAGAGATTTCACCTGATCCTGTTGTGAGGAGATCAGTCCTGGTTTCTACGGGAACTCAGACAGACGAGAGTCGATTAGATGATGACCACAACACCAGTTACATGTCCGTTGATGTTAATGTAATGGAGGATCCGGACTGGATTCCAGATGACAACAACGATCAAGATAATACAGAGCATCAAGAGATAAGTCCGGCCAAGGAGAGAAAGTTTCTTGTATTTGAATCCTGCTTGGAAAGTTTGTTTGTAACTTGTAACAACTGTGGATCCACATGCAAAGTAACCAAAAATGTAGTTGGTACTTATATTCAGGTTAATAGCCTCAGTGAAAATTGTTGCCTTATCAAAAAATGGGAGAGTCAGCCGACATCAAATTCCATGCCACTTGGCAATTTGATTGTGGCAGGAGCTGTTTTATTTTCTGGCAGTAGTGCCAGTAAATTTTTGACATTGTGTAATCATGCATCAATACAAATGTTTAGTGTAGGGACTTATATGAAACATTCAGAATCTTTATCTAGTCCCGACGATAGAAACTGTTTGGCAGAGAACAATTGCATCTATCAACTGCAGCACGGAAAGCGGGAGAACCCTTGAGGCTGGGCGGTGATGGTAGATGCTGCTCCCCAGGACATACAGCAAAGTACCTGTCCTATACATTGATGGATCTTCAAACAAATAAAATTGTAGACACACAGCTAGTACAGGTTAGAGCAAACTAAATTTAAAACACATTTTTCATGAAAACTCTAAGTTGGAATATGATGGACACTTTGAAAAATTTCCAAGATCATAGGGCTATTTTGATTTCATGTTTTTCTTTTAAACATTACCGGGTCAATACAGAACATGTTTCTTGTAATTGTACATGCAACTTTTTTATACTGCAGAAAAATGAAGTAAGGAACTCATACGCCATGGAGTTAGAGGGTTTGAAAAGAGGTTTGGCATTTTTAGAGGAGGAGCAAGTTGAAGTGTCGCATCTGGTTACTGATCGCCACTCTCAAATTAAAAAGTATATGCGTGAAGAGCATCCTGAAATTACGCATTGGTTTGATTGCTGGCATGTTGCTAAAGGTAATTTTAATTTGAATTGTTTATATGTTGTTTTTATAATTCAAATCCTTTATTTAGCATATTTTATTAGGGAATTACATGTCTTCTATCAGGGGTATTTAAGAAGTTGGAAGCAGTAGCTAAAAAGAAGAATTGTGAGATTGTTGGTCAGTGGGCAAAATCAATCAGTTACAATACCTACTGGTGTGCTATGAGCTGTGAAGGAATGGAGAGTTAGTACTTGAGAAATGATGTTCCATTTTAAACCATGTTTGCAATGTACATGAAGGGCATGGTTCACAGTTTCCACGATGTGAGCATGTTGAACTTGATGATGACCGAGTATGGTTCAGGAAAGGTATCTAAAATAATGCTATCAATTTTCTGGTTGCAGATTAACTTATAATTGAGTATTTTGTACATTTTCTTTGTTTTCTTTTAATATTTAATTAGCATAAAAGTATACTACAACATATAAAACAGTACATCAATTTCTACCCTGCAGGTTTCTAAAGCTTATGTTGAATTGGAAAAAAATTGTTAATGGACGATTGCTACTTTCTCCAGCAGAACAAACATCTGGTCTGGAAGCCTTCCACAAAGTTTTGTCACTTTTCCCCAAAACTGGTCCACTACTTTCATGCACAAATGGAAGCTAGGTGAGTAAACAGTCAACAGGTCTTTTAACAACAAGTAATATCACCTGCTCACATCTTATTTTTTCTGCTACCAATTTGAAAATTCACAGGTTACAGTTAGCAGTCCTCCATTTCAATGAAAACTGCAGCAGACAGCACGCAACAACCAGTCAAGGATACACAATGTATAGGGTGTCTTTCCCGAAAAGTAGGAAAGGTGAAGGAGTGGCTAAGGAAGTGAAAGTAAAACAAACTTTCAGTGAGTATTGCAAAATTAAGGTCATAACTAAATTTGTTCAGAAGAAATGATTTTTGACTTGAATTAACAAAAAAATGTATTGAATTAAAAAAAAAAACAATTTCAAACATCGCATGTGAGTTAAGGTCAGACGACACGTTCCTCAATTATATATAACTTTTTCCAGGAATTTGATATTGATTTACTGCTACTATGACAAGCTTGCTTGCAAAAATTTAGGGTACATTACCAGGCATTTGTGCAAGATACTAGAGGATGGAATTTCCTATATAACCCTATTGAAAATCACTTGAATTGTAGATATAACAAATTTTGGTATAAATATATATATATATTAAAAATTGTAACCATTTTAAAAATGAAAATAAATAATATTAATTTTAATTGGGATATTATCAAGCTGTTGAAAATTTGAAAAATAATTATCATTTTTCATCAGTGTAAACCTGTCCTTGAGTTACCTCTCTTTATGAAAAAGACAAAATAGGTTTTTATCAAGAACAATTTTTATTCACATTCCTGTTCAATATAATCAAGGATTCAAATGTTATTGCATTCAAATAGAGATAAATGTACATACCACAAGAAAATATGACTGATTTACAATACAATATCACAATACACAATTGGATGTTTACAAATTTACTTCAGATTCATAAAATACTGTTGAAGAGAAGAAATAATTCTAGAATTTGTAGTAACTCGCACTTTACCTGTTGCATGTTTGTCAGACAATACATACTTTATTCCATTTACTGCATCTCTCTGATAGGCAAGATAAAGATGCTGGAAATGAAGACCAGATGATGCAACTTTGTTTGCAGTAAATTTTGACAATACATTGCTGTCTACAAGATGTTGTAAAGAACATAAATTTCTGCTGGTCAAATCTGCAAAAGAGTTGTTTTCAAAAACAAACTGCGTTGTAAAACTATGTTTGAGCATCATATCATCAGAAGCTTTTACACATAACACCAGTTCTTGTAAGGTCTGAGCATCAGACAAAGCATCATGGGCATCATAATGCCTACTACATATGTCTTTAGCAAGATCTGTAAGCTTATATGATTTTCTATTTGGGATGAGTTCTCTACATAATGGCAGAGTGTCAGTAAATCCAATGAAGAAGTCACTGGCACACAGTCCCACTGAATCAAATAAATGCACAATAATTCGGGAATCAAATATGGCATTGTGAGCAACCAAAATTATGTTGGTAAATTGTTTCATCCAATCAATAAATGACTGAAAAGCTTCCTCAGTTGTCTTACTGAGAACTTGGTGTCCATTCTTGTACATTCTTGTGTCTCTGATTGCTAGTTCAGTCACAGCTGTAGCAGAAGCAGAGATGGATTTTGTTGGAGGAGTGACATACTGGGAAAATATTTTATCATCAGTACAAGCTCCAATCTGTGTTACTTCACAATCTTTTTCTGAAAAGAGAAAACATGAAATAATTTATAGAAGAAGTCAAAAGCATTTTTCAGCAATTCACCACATCATGTTTTAGGCACAATTTTTACATGGAAATACATGTATGATGATATTTACCAAGACCTGTTGTTTCCAAGTCAAAGTATACAAATGTATACTGTCCAGCTGCAATGGGTGTTGAAATGGGTTTGATGAGAGGAGGGGGTATTTCTGTAATGCTGTTGTCTATATTATTGTTGATGTCAACATCAGTTTCGTATGTGATCCCCTCTTTTACTGCTGATGATTCTTGATTTTTCTTGCTCTCAGCTTTTTTCAATGCTCTTCTTTTCTTGTACTCTGCTGTATCTTCTTTGTCTTTGTCTTTCTTTCTTTTCAAGTCTGTTTTCATGGCAATTTTGCTTGTCACTTTCCCAGGTGAAAGAAACAATTTTTCATTTACCTGAAATGAAAACACTTTACAATTTTATTTCTAATAATCTTATTTACCTAAAGTTCAAGCTAAAATTTCAAGTAACATTGCTAAATTTAGTATTTCACAAAACAATCACAACTGCATGTAGAACATGTATTTGAAAGAAAAAAAAATATCATAATTTTAGTGAATTTCTATGGAAGGGTAATAATACTTCAAGAATAAACCTTATTTTTCCAATTTACCTGTAATATATACTGATGACCCAAATTTTTTTGTGCAACTGCTGCAGCTACTCTAAAGTCGTTGCTCTCTGAGCCAGAGTAGAATGTTGATTTTGGAGTCTTGCTTGCCACAGTATTATTAAAACTTTCATTGGGCTGGGTACTTCCTAAATCCACCAATCTATCAGCCTGTGAAATGTAAAAGTCAACTATGGATGTCAAATCAACTTTCAGTCCTTCATCGGAAAGATAGCGGTGGTATGGCAACTGAACAGGTTTGTAAGTCGTTGGTGATGATAAATACCCACACCAAGATCCACACAAGCTGTGATCACCAAATACATGTCTGGATATAGCCTCCAAGTTTTTCCTCATACCATCCAAGTCATGTTGATTTTGACCGACACAATATCTGAAGCACTTTGACAGGTGACTTATTGTCTTAGGATTTAGTTCTTTATAGTTTTTACACTTTTTCAGATCATATAACTTGTTTGTGAACTGTTTCAGTGTGTGATTTTTATCACTTTGTTTCTTCAAAGCTGGGTTTACCTCAGTACGAGCCCTTGCTATTGTTGTAGTATCATTGTCCATGATGATAGTCCCTACTTGCACATCCTTTCCTCCTAGATCTTTGAGCATTTCTATGCACATGTCTGGCTCCATAGCTTTGGAACTCCCCGTCCAGTTTTTACGGCAGTCATGAGTTGATGGAGTCTTCCCCGTTTTCTCTGCACTATGACATATTCTGCAGTATCCGTTGCGTGTTGCAAAATGTACAATTCTGCCAGTTTCTCTGCCTTACATTGCTGCGTGTCCTAGAAATATGAATTTCACAGTTATATTTTTCCTTCGTCAAACATGTGAAATAATGTATAAAGTCTTTGACTTCGTATTACCTGAATGTATTATCTCATATCTTTCAATAGGACCCTACCAGATAAACTTGAAAAAGAACGCCCTGATCCCCTCTTCTGCCAGCCGCCATCAAATGACACCATCAACTCTTCATTATTACTACAATACAATTCACATATCATCAGGATAAATTTTATTATCAGATTGAGTTCGGCTGGAGTCGCCAGCCTAAAATTACATGTAATGCGAATAAACGATGCATTTTCAATGATAACTGAGCTTATCTTTGTGTGTAATACTATTGAATGTGGCAATCTATGTATACACACAGTATTCAGTATATACAACTGTTGAAGTATTATCTGCAAGTTTATTTTATGTATACATGCCTTGGATTAGACATATTATAAAAATATTGCATGTAGTTGAGTGTAACATTGAAAATTTTCACCCCAAGAAAACCATTGTCAAGTGAGGTGCAGCAAATTGCAAGGTTGACAATGGTTTTCGAGGGGTGAAAATTTTCAATGTTACACTCAACTACATGCAATATTTATTAAATTATACTGAATGCTTTATACAAATACATGATAATAACAGTGAACTTTGCGCGCATAAATTTTGCGCAATCACTATTTCTTGGAATATCACCCGTCGTCAAGCAATGTTGACTGTTGCTATGCTGGAGGGCCTGGCTTCATCATTCAGCAGGTAATAGTGTTTTTTAATAAATGTTTCTCGACAAATCAGATTCAACTAATTTATATGAACGTATAATACATGTATTATAAATTATGCAATAATCCTACAATATAGGCATCACTTTTATAATAATTTTGAAATACATTGCTTTTCTAAAATTTTAATTATGCAAGCATGGTATAATTTATGGTGTGTACCTAGAAGATTCTCTCTCTGCAGTAACCACAGAATCACAACTTTGCCTTGCAACATCTTCTACTGCTTTACCAGCTTCTCTCTCTGTAGATTTTAAAGTTGTGTGAGAAAGAGGTGGAATATTCAATACGCTCAAGAGCATGGACACCTTTTTCTCCCCTATGCCTGCATGTAGCATTCCTATAAAAACAAATACTTATATAAGTAATATGACATTATATTATATATCTTATGTTATCCTTTTATCAGATTATATGAAGAAATTATAGAGTTCTCATACACACCTAAAGCAAGCTTTGTGTTTACATCAAATGCTCTGCTGGCATGGTCATCCACACGTGAGTGTCTCTTTCCACTTGGGACAGAAGTCACTTTGTTGCACTTTTTGCAATTTATTCGTAGTAATGAACCCAGTCCATATCTTACTTCACCACAAATATCAGTTAACTTCAATGGATGTCCACAACAGTTACAGCCCTCAATTAGTTTGTTCACAACATATCCTAGTTCTATCTGTTTATCACTTTTAGTACTATCATCATCCTTTAGGAGAATTTCAGTGTCTACTTCATCTTCTTTCTGTGCATAATCATGCTCATCTAGATAGTATGGTACATGTAATCCTAAAACTCTGTCCATGTCATTTGCTTCAGAGAACTCTTGTTGTGAGAGAGACACACTGGCATCGTCTGTTCAATATATATATATATATATATATATATATATATATATATATATATATATATATAATATAGTAAGAAAATATATCCGAAATGTGTAGAACACATGTATTTCTCCAAATAAATACGTGTGTGAGGAGTGAACTACCTGGTGTCTTTGTGACACTGTCTTGTTCTGAAAAGAATCACCAGTCTACGATTCCTATATACATATAATAAAGATTTATTTACCTTTGTCCACTTCTTTATTTCTCTGTCTGTTTTCTTCTAAAACATTGGCTTTCCTGAACATTTGATTTGAAATGAATTTTCCATTCTTACCGCGATTTTTTCCCGGTGTCTCCATTGTAAACAAATTACAAATTTATCTCCAATCGCTAAAGAGCGCAGAAAGGGACATAATCAAATATAATTTTTTAAACCAACTTCGGTGAAAATCCGGATTGTTTTATTGGAACTCTTTATTACGAGGAGATACAAAAAAAGATACTCGAGGAACGTGTCGTCAGACCTTAAGGCTAGGTGTAGGCGTTTCTGTGCAAATGAGCTAATGAAAACGCAGAAGAGGTATATTTATTATTCAAAGAAAGTCTTGATTTATTCTCTTATGCATACTTAGTACCCACGACATGTTATAGCCAGTACACATTATGACGTCATATTATGACGATACAGATCTTACATACTGGAGGTAATAAAACACATCAACAAAACAGCTTCGGCGCAAGGGATTACCCTATTTATTTTGACATAAAATTGTACAATGCTAAGAAGAATAATCTATAGATTAATAAAACTGCTGCACAAATCCCAGGCATGTTCTCATTTGATCGGAATTTGAGGAAACTTATACCGGACTATACGTTTTTACCCTTATTCAACTTAAAACTTTACAAATAAAAATTACACAAGTGAGCTGTTGATATTTGTGCAGCAATACCCTGTTTCAGAGAGATAAAATAGAGCATGCCCTTGCGCCGAAGCATTTTGTTAATATTCATTATAATCCTGTGTAGTAAAGAACAATAGAGAGGTTGAGATTTCATACTTGTACGTGTACGGGTACGTCTAGTAGGCGAATTCCCTAAATTCCTCACATATTACGTCATCAGTTTTGGTGTTGATAAGTTTTCTACACGTTCCTACAACTTGTAAAAAGGCATCTACAAGTAGGTGTAAACTTGTAGCTTTTTCAATAAAAAACTAGTCAATTTATGTGTAAAACTGTTATTGCTGTTCATTATTTAGGATGTTGAGTTTCATGAAAACTTATTTTAACTATATTTTGTTCACTAACTTAAGTCAAACTAATGTCACAAAACTACTCAATAGCTGAAACAAAGACACTGATTGCAGTCTACACGTTCATGTTACACGTCATTAAAATCTCAACAGACAAATTACAAAAAACGTGTACGTCAAAGTTTGTGCACAAGTACAAGTTCGCGTACAAGTTTAAAATCTCAACCTCTCTAATGACGTCATAATATGACGCCATAATGTGTACTTGCTATCTCATGTCGTGGGTACCAAGTATGTATTAGACAATAAGTTTTTATCTTCTCTGTATAATAGATATAGTCTTTAGGCATTTTAATTAGATTATTTGCATAGAAATGCCTATACCTAGCCTTAACTCACCTGCGATTGTATGTTTAATTTGTTGATTTAACTTCCTTCATTAAACAACAATAAAAGTCATTGCTCTATTTCCAGATTACATTGACAAACTGAATAAAGAGCTGGTATTTAGGCGGGAGGTTCACAGTTCTTTTGCAGAGGCAAGGAGAGCAAGGACAATGGAAGATAGAGAGAGACCTGTTCCGATCTCCCAGACTGAACCAAGAGCAAGGAAATGTGATATTGTGGCTGCACATAGATCTAGATTTAATTAAATACACAATGATTCACGTACAGTGTAGTTCATGGTTTTATTTCAAAATTTACGTTGTATATTAATTTGTCAATTTGGGTATTTAAAGCCACAATACTGTTGGGAGGGAAAGGTTTTTCGAATTTTGGTTACAACACAAGATGGAAGAATTCTTCTGTTCTTCTTCCCGAGACGCTGATACACCCATCTGACAAATTTGCGATAGGCAAAATATCTGTACAGTCTGAAATGACAAAGGAAATACAATTTGCATGCTTTTATTCATTATGTACATGGATGTTTCTCTTTCAAAGACATAAAAATTGTTCAGAAGGGACAAAGAATCTTTTTCCAAGGGTCCAGAAAGTATACTGAGAGAGAGAGAAAGGAGGGGGGTTAATCCAAAAATATGACTGATATAACATTTTTACTAGCCAAACATTAAAAAAAAAACTTAATGGGAAAGGGGGTAGTCTTTTTCTGACTAAAAATTTTGATATATTGAGAAGTGAGAGCTTGACCGTAAGAATTCCGGGAGTGGGGTGGTTGCCAGCCTTTAGAGAAAATTTTTATTTTAAATTTACAGCAAAAAATTATTCCGAAAAAAGTAAGGGGGCATCCAACTTCCGATACTTCGTGCCTGTTAGACATTTTTTTTCTCGGATATTATACCAGACTTGGTGATTTTCTTTCTTGTTTGAATATAGGCCTATAGTCAAGTAAAATATGACTTACTCATGAATGTGTTCATTTTCCTCTAATTGTCCGTTTTCTTGAATGTATTCATAGTAGGATGTCTCAAGAGCATATTTGAGTGCGTGAGTAAAAAGGATTAAAATACCAGTCATCTGCATTCGCTACGTGCTGCGTCACTGGTCAACTGTAATATTTTCATCTCCACTTTCACCAGGTTCACCGTCGGACGAAACAGAAGAGGACGAGGAATCGTTTTCAATTTGTGTAACGTTGCTTTCCTTGATTGGCTCAAACATGTACGGCTTTATCTTAATTGAAAGGTCTATCTCTGGTATAGCACCATCACTGTCTCTAGAATTTGCCCTTTTTTCCCCTTTTATTACAATAATGGAGATCACTATATGCTACATTGTTATTGGTTTCTGATGTTGATTGTCTCTAATGACGTCACGTAAAGGGGAAATAACTCTTTCGATCAACGTTAATTTAAGCGATTTTTAAACAGTTAAACAAAGAAAACAGTGAGGTTTGAAATTTTACGAATATTGTGATTTCCTATTTTTAGCCATTATTTACAAAATATATCATTTTAAAGTGTATCTATTTCCTTTGAATTTGACCTTTAAAGTTTGCAGGTCTTAAATTCTATACTCGTTATACAGACCTTGTAACAAATATAACCTAACATTGGGTTGAATTTTGGTTGACTTGTTTTATACCAATTTTTATGCTAGCCTTGTGTTTTTATATTGAATTTGACTACGGAATGTTCCGTCTACATAGGGCTCGTGGCGGGAATTACCGGTCAACAGGGGATGCTCACTCCTCCTAGGTACCTGATCCCATCTCTGGATTTTCCATGGGTCCGTGTCTTATGCTTCAAATATTTGTATCGTTTCTAGATATTTTTGAGATTGATCATTGTTCGTTATCTTCACCTTTTTCATTTAAGATTTAATACCACCATAGAAATACCATTTCCATTTTTTTAAGCCTTGCCTTTTAAGGTGATTCGAACCCGACGAATTCAAATCTACCGCGCAACTCGAACTGCTGAAGATAGGCTGATGTCGTGACACTAATAATTACGACTCGTTTGTTATAGAAATAATTTATAGGGTCGCAAACAATTTGATAGTTAAATAAAGTAATTTTTATTAGAATATTCATGTTATTTATTAAAATTGGCTTTTTGAAAGTTCTTTCGACATTGGGAATTTACGACATACCCACGCCGTTTTCCGTCGCCATGTTGATAAAAAGACGGTCAATTACATTTTCAGAGAAAAAAACACTGTATATTCGGTTGTATTTATATGCAAGAAGTATATGAATATATTCTGTTTGGTATCTTACAACAACTTTCCAGGCGATTTCATTTCTGGGTACAAGATTACGATGTTCATCATGATTTTCACGTAAGTACATGTATGTATAGAAAAAGATAGTACAGCAGAATTTTTTTTTAGTGGTAATGTTATATGATGTGTCCCTTTTTAGTACACGAAATTTGTAGATAGCATTATCATTTATGAAAGGTTATCTTGAATAGTGCAGAAATATAATATGAACAATGTACACTGTACATCTGTGTTACTTTATTTTGTTTCGTTCATTGTCGAAAAGATATCTTTTCGACAATAAACAAAACAAAACCCAACTTGATTGAACAAATGACATCAAAGAGTTCTGATTGTGATACTAGTTGCCATATTTTGTACAGTGTACTAGTGTTTTTCAAACCATATTTAATTTATTTACACAACTGAGAATTTCTACACTGTGTCACACACAAAAATGCATATTTGTCAATGACTTAAAAAATTGTCCCATGTTCATGATGTTTATAATATCTAGAGAAAATAATACAGATAGTAAAGTGAAGTTAGTGAACAGAATTAGTCTGAAAGGCCTATTGCTAATTAATTGAGATCATCGCAATTTTCAGAAAAAATAATTACATTTCATGAACATTTCAGGGGTCAATATGACTAAAAAAATGAAGAATTGATGTCCTACCTACAAACTTGATGTAACATGTCATGTGGTTTAAAATGCTGTTTGTAAAAATATGCTGAAGGACAGTTGACCAATTCTTATTTTAAAAAAAATATTGATGACCCTTGTTCATGAGGTTGTACACTGCACACATTTATTAGCTTTGTTTGAAAGGAAAAAAAAATAGGGAATTAAATAAAATTAATGTATATGTAATTGCATTGTGCAAAATATTATTATTAATTTTTTTTTTTTTTTTTTTTTTTTTTTTTTTTTTTTGGAATCATGGAATTGTGTTAAGTTTGATAAATATTAATTAGCACTTTTTATTTTTTAATTTCAGATTAAGGAAGAAAGATGTTTTAAAGAAAGATGATCCCTAAAACAGTATAGAGCCTTTAGAGGTGATAGAGATAATGGGGGATTGATGTGCAATCCAGCTAGAAAACTGATTGCACATTAAAAAAGTGTTTGCCATTCAACATTTTCATTACTAATGGCTTTAGAAATTTTTTAAAAAGTAAATGAATACCAGGTAATGATATCTCTAATAATGATGTAACTGTTTGATGATATGAAAGATGAAGTAGAATTTAAAAGTTGTTTTGCTATAGAATATGATACAGACTTTCATACTGCTGTTTTGTAAATGTTGAAATTCAAGAGAGTTGAAATTGACATAAATAGTGTTAAACACTGTTAAGGAATGTCTATGAAATTAACATGTAAATTGAATACCTAAGTGTGATTTATTATCTCAACAGGTTTTTTGAAAGCTGCCGAAGGAACAGTCAGAATGGATTTCTTATCAATCAGCAGTCAAAATGTACAACCTTAGTAAACTCTCTGCAGTATGTTCCTTTTGATCCAGATGCGCTGATAAATAACCTTGATGTTGAAACCATCAGGCTGGGTATGAATAAATAAATATCAACATTTCTGACAACAAAATAAAAATCATAAATTAAACTTTTGACCTCCTCATCTGTGTTATGGTGTATTGAATGCTGAAGCTTCACACAGATTTTATAAACAAAATGCATGTGTTGTGTAAAAATTCCTTCCCTCCATAGGTTTAATACTATTTTTATTACAATCATATTATGAAAATAAAAAATGATAACTCAGTACTAAGACCTTTATAAAAGATGTTACATGTATTACTATAATCCTTGTCCACCTGTCAGTAAGGCTATACCTGAAGAATTTTTTTTCAGGCTAAGGATCACATTTTTTTTGTTTCCACCGCTTGCCACCCATGACCGAAATGTTTGCTCTAGCTGCTACAAAAGACCTACAAGATATTCAGAATTTTACCTATCGAAAGCCACAGCAAGTCAAAAGATTCAATTGCAAGTTGGAAAAAAGAAAAGGAAAGAAACATTCATGTTAGGGATCACATAAAAGAAACTAGTTTAATTGGAATATGAAAAAAAACTCCCTTGAGAATCTCCCTTGAGATAAAAAACCATTCTGTATGAACAGAACTGCAGCATGAATTATATACTCTTTTGAGATACTTATGCTATACTAATGTCTACTAATGTTGTACTAATGTCTGTTTTCTCCATATGGTGTGTCCTTTTATGCTCTTTTCAGCTAGAGCTTGCAAAAGTTAGCACTGACATTGTCATTTTTCTCATGCTTTTTTCTATTTTTTCAACCTTAAAAATTAACTTTCTGTGTTCATACAGAGGAAATTTGGATGTAAATATTTCAGAGAGATTCTTAATTTACAGAAATTTATGTCATATATATATATATAGCATTATGTTCCATATTCCTACATATTTTGAATTTTAGGAAAGATTAGTCGCAGGGATTTTTTTTCCCTCTAATTTAGGCAAATATTGTACATCAAGGGTTTGTTATTTTAAAAAAGTCAGAGGATATTCAGATGAGTAATGTGCACTTTTTTCACCTTAACTGTGTATATATGCCAGGATTATTTTTCTAAATTTATTATACATATCACACCTTAAAAAAATTATAAAAATATATATATCATGATATTAGATGATCTTTTTTATTCACCAACAATCAATTTGAAAGTTTACTTTTAGAGAGAAAAAAAATAGGAAATTTGGAATGAAAATTTAAAAATTCTTGAAATTTTACATTAATTGTCCTTCAAAATTTTGATTTCAAGTTTGTTCTCAAAATAATTGACTATGTGAATTGAAAATTAATTACTTTTGATTGATTTTGTAGCCTCCGTTGCAGATATATGTGCTTCAGGGTAATTTTTTAATAAAGGTCAGAGAAAATTCGGATTAGCATATCTTTTTATCTGACTCATGAACATACCAATCATACCCTTTGTTACTTAGCTATACATCTCTTTTTTAAAATGGAGTTAAAAAATAAATATCCAATTACATTTAGTGCGATTTTATAAACGTTTTTGTAGTCAAGGTTAAGATGAAATGGGCAATTTTTAAGAAGACAGAGGAAATTCAGACTGCCGTAGATGCTGTTTGAATGTAATATCTATGTAAAAAGAATGACAAAATGAAGTTAATCTGCTACCCTGTTATATATTTCCAAGTAAATGAATTCTGATAATAATTTGTGATTTTTTTGTTCTTTTCTTTAATGCCAATGATATTTTTTTCACAGCTTTTACATTTTTAAACAATGGCATATTCAGAGGTTGTTGCCATGGAAACGAACGCATTAGCATATATCAAATTTGATGATTCCTAAACCAAAAACTTTTCCTCTATCTGAGGGTTCCTATCTTTTAATTTTCCAATTACTTTCACGACAGGTTCGAATCACTTTAAACAACCAAAAAAAGTTGTAAGATTTTATGCTGCATCGTGGCAACTTTAATATAAAATAGCAGATACCTTTCTCTGTTCGTTGTGTTATTATACCCCATACACATTAAGGAATATAATTTTCATGGTCAGTGCATTAATACAAATTTGGAGATTTTGTAATACTATACAACTTTTGCTATTTTGAAACTCATACATTATAAAGATCCACACATTACCCTGTATCTCTGCCATATCTAATAATGATATAAATAATATAAATGTATTAATGTATCTCAGAAACCTAGGATGTTACATTCCTTTTTTAGAAGGTGCTTGTAAGTCTGTGTAAGTCATTCATGTTTAAATCTAGAAGCCTAATATGGTTTCTGGATATCCAATTTTTTATTAAATTTATTAGTAAAAAAAGAATATTCCTTGGAAGAGTATAAAATATAGGACAGGGAGTTTTATCCACATTTTAAAGCTATTAGTGGTAAACGTACCGTGGGCAACTGAAAGAGGATATCAATCCTTTTATATGTTACCTCTTTGCTTTTGTTAATCTTGAGAACACACGTTACCTTGGAAATGTATTTTTAAATACTGGTTATTTCCAGTCAATCGGAACGTAATGGGGGGCAAATATCTGAATAACCAATAGAATGAACGAATATTTAAGTGGGTTGAGAAGTAATAAAGGACACTCTTGCCTGAAAGAAAAATATACCTGCTCACTGTAAACGTTAATTGAAGTTGCCATGTTTATAAAATCTGCATTGATTATTTAATCCTGAATACAAATGTAAGTATATTTCATGCACTATGAAATTGAAATGGCTGATGATTATTTGTCAAGTTTACGAGGACAATAAGTTCTTTGTCATTTGACACCATACTGAGTTTTTCCCGTAACAAGTGTCAATTACACAACTTATTTTAACTAGTAAAACCTTTTCTCTGTCTTTCACTACATTTCTTTTTTCTTTTATCTTAACAAATATGATACATTTTTAACTTTAGATAAAATGTTTTGCAATTAAGATCAAATATATTTTTCAAATGGATTGGAGGGGCTGTGGCTAGCAACCACACCGAAGTTACTAGCCTTCTAGATATTTAAACACGGTTTGCTTAGCTTACATTTTTGTGTGAAATGTATATCAAGTGACCTGAGTGTATCTATTTGCATTGTAAGGTCTTCTAGTTTTAGAAAGTACAAACTTCAAATTATATCATCATTAAACTATTTCTTATAACATTTCCTTCCCTCCCTTACTTTGCAATATTGTTATGCTTTTAAGTCTTGAAAACTTGACCTATATTTGATAAATGTAAAAAAAAAATGCTCAGTATTAAGATTTTCTCTAAACTAAGAGGGGACTTGAGAAGTAGTCTTACCCATTTAAAATTCTGGACATCTATTCACAAAAAATCATAAGTTTACGACTACGGTTTGAACGTACGATAATCCTAAGATATAAGTTATGGTGATATTCACGAAAGTGGTCGTAAGATCGACACATTGTCGTAAGTGAAAAGCGATCGTAAGATTTTCTCTTTCTTGGTTACAGACAACTGCTCATGCGCAGGTGACGCAATGCGGGAAAGAAGATAACGCAACCCTGAGCGCAAATGAAGGTCTCCATGGTCTCGTATACAATATAGCACTTTTTTTTTCAAATTATGTTCAATATTTAATTACATGTATAATGAGTAAAGTTGTGTGTAATAGGGTTCAAATTTTTATCAACATCATTCACTCTAATTTGCTACGTAGCTTTAATTACCTACGCACGGTGAAGTCGCTGTTTCCACGATTATTCTCGGTACCTTCAAGCTTCTCAACTTGTACAATCACATATATTTTATTTAGCTACATACATTTAGCTCGAATTAACTACGTACAGTAAAGTCGCCAATATTAATATGATCACGGACTTTCTCAGTTCCGATTCACCCATATGTATTTTATGCCATATTGTTTAAATTGAAGCACAGAAAAAGTTGTAAATATGCTGGTTTTGAAAAATTGGTTTTTCGATCGGTAATCAATGACAAAATTTTGAAAATCAACATTACACCAGCAAAACTCAACATGCTCAATATTCAAAACCTAGTTACACCTATATGTATTTAACTTAGAATTATAAAAGTATTCTCCAAGGAAAATTTAAAAAGTAAAACTGTGTTTCCTTTACAAAAAAATTATCCCCTTGCAACGAAGTCTGAGAAAAATAGTCCTGCTCTTGTATGTGTTTGTTTGCTAAGAGACGGGGGATAGGTGAGTGAGTGCGTGCATTATGGAAGTTTTGCAAATAATAATTCATATCGGGATCGATAAGTTCTTTTGTTGGAGAATGATCTGCTTTACGGTGCCTTTGTGAATTCATGTTTTCATTATAAAAATTAAACTTTTAGAGTCATATTGAGAAATCAACTCCGGAATAAGTCCTGATACACTTAATACTACAAATAACAAATTAAAATCGCAGGTTTTAAACAAAATGCTTTATAATATATTCCGAGGGGTGACGTACATAAAAAGTATATGTTAAACACCTAATAATTGGCCAATTTTAGCCGGAAAATGTTAAATATTATTCAAAGTGCTTGTTTCTAGATCTAGCAGTTAGAGAATTTTTTAACAAACACTATATTCGAAAATTGTTTGATTGATAAACTCGATCTGAAATTAAATAAATGTTCGCATTAAGACAGTAAAAATTTTCTAAAAAAAATCTTGTAATACATTTTCATATATTATAAAACCTAATGCTTAGTGAAATTATGTCCGATTCATGATGAAAATAGATCACTCTTGGAAAAGGATCTGTTTCTAAGAGTTACTAGAACCCCATTAAGTATGTCCTGGACGTGCATTATTTCAATAATTTACGTAAGAAGTCTTATTTTATTTCATCATTTTCGCAAGAAATTCTATTTGAAAACTGAATCTTCTGCATGGATTTCAGTATTTTTGTCTTCGGAAAATGTCCTCATGGTTAACTTGATGTACTAGTTTCTTTAAGTTGTCTGATTCCACCATAAGTATTTCAATTGAGACTGAAGAAATTTACAGATTCAGTATAGAATAGAATCTGACGAAATAGACCGGCAGAAACTAAATTGTATCCAGCAGGGAAAGCCGATTGAGACGTAAAATTTTGATAGATGTAGAGGGCGTAGGCATTTGAGAAAATAGTTAAGATCTGGACGGAAGAAAATAGTCAGAAGACCTGGTCTCCAAAGAATAAATAGGTATTGTTAATGAAGAACTCCAGCATCCTTTTAATATCAACTTCAGGGTATTTGTGTAAATAAGTAAGGTTAACATTTTACATCACTGTAAACTTTTTTCATTAACAAAAGAAAGTATTTTAAGGACTAGTTACAGTATAATTCAATATGACCAAAATATCATATTTTTGTGCACAACTATAACATAAATAATTTTAAGAGAATTAGTGAATTGTTGTCTAAGTCCTAATATTTTCGTGAAAAGACTCATTGTTCTCTGCACTCAGGACCATTAAACAGTGAAGGTTCTTTATCGTGCTTAACCATACCATGACACAGGACCTCTGTATTAAAGGTTTTAAAGGTCCAATCCAAAAGAAATGTGACTTTCTCTTATTATGCTTGGCGT